TCGGTTGTGGCTTCTATGTTTAGATTTATAATCCATTTATAATTAATTTTTCTGTATGGTATGAAGTAGGGATTGTGGTTCACTTTTTCCCCTCATACAGCTGACAAGTTGTTCAAGTGGCTTTTACTGAAAAGTTTTTACTTTCTCCATTGAATTGCTTTGGCATCTTTGTAAAAAATCATATGACTATATAAATGTGAATCTGAAGATGGGCTCTTTATTCTGTTCCATTGATGTATTTGTCTGTCCCTACACCAGTGCCACACCGTCCTGACCACTGTAGTTTTGTAGCAAGTCTTGAAGTCAGGGATCGAAAGTCCCCTAACTTCATTCACTTTCAAGATTGCTTCGGATATTCCTATGCATAGTCATATGGATTCAAGCAGCAGTCAACCTTTACCACAAGTTCTCATAGAGTTATGATTGAGATTACATGGAACGTACGGATCAATTTGGAAGAACTGACATCTTAACACTAGTGAGTTTTCCAGTCCGTGAACACAACATACCTCCCGCTTATTTAGGTCATCTGTCAACAGTGTTTTATAGTTCTCATGATAGGTGTCACCCTCAAATTTAAAAAATTTACTCCTAAGTATTTTATGATTTGTAAACTACTGTAAGCAGTGTTTTTGAAATTTCATGTTCAAATAGTTGCTGCTTGTATACAGAAATACCATTGATTTTTTGGTATCAATTTTGACTTTGCACTGTCCTTGCTAAATCCACTTTATTAGTTATTGTGTTTTGTTGTATTGTAAATTCTTTAAGATATTCTACATAGATAACCGTGCCATCTGTGACTGGAGCATTTTAATTCTTCTTTTCTAATCTTAGGCCTCTTTTTTCTTTTCCTTATATTATTACACTTGCCAGGATCTCCTATAAAACACTGGAAAGAAGTGGTGGGAGTGGACACCCTTGTGTTCTTGTCTTGGGGAGGGGAGGGAGATCCAATATTTCATTATTAAGTATAATATTTGCTGTAAGGTTTTGTGTTTTTATAAATGCCTGTCACACTGAGGACTTTAAGCTTTTTGTTTTGCCTTTGCTGAACCACAGCTGCAATTTGTGTTTAGTTCTCTTAGCCTTGGATGGGCTTCTTGGGGTTTTTCCTCCTGTTTTTATTGTTCAGGAGTCAGAGATTTGAGCAGAATTTATAGATATATTTTGAGTCTCCGCTCTGTGGCTTTCTCCTCTTCTGGTTATATCCCTTCAATTTTAAGCTGCTCTGGTAGCCACAAACTTTGTGCTTTGATTCCTTAAGCAGGCAAGACTGCAGATTATTATCCAAATTCTAGCTGTCCTTTGAATTCTTTGAGTGGCGTCCCTTTCTTTCAGAGGCCCACTCTCCTCCAAATCTGCCTGCTTCTAGTGACTCTCCAGGGTTTTCCAGATGGCTCATTTTAAATAGTAGTTGTTTAAAAAAGTTTTATTGAGGTATCATTGGTATGTAACATTCTATGAGTTTCAGGTATATAACACAGTGCTTCCATATGTGTACGTATTGCAAAATGATCACCACAGTAAGTCTGGTTAACGTCTATCACCATACGTAGTTACAAAATATTTTTTCATGTCATGAGAACTTGCAAGATCTCTTGGCAACTTTCAAATATGATATACAATATTATTAACTATGGTGATCATGCTGTATATTACACCAGCAAGGTACAGTGCACGATGGTGTACATTACAACTATAGATCATTGTTTTTTTACATATGTTTTCCAGTGTTTACAGTTACTGTCTGTGAGAAGTTTGGTCCAAGATAAACAACTTCACCATCCTCAGAAGCGGAGCCTTCTTTAAATAATGTGGTCAGAATAGTCCTTACATATAACATAGAATTTATGGAAAGATTTGAAAGAAGGGGGGGTTTTGGCCAAAGTGACTGTTTTGAAGCCTCCAGGCAGACAGAAGAACTATAACCAATGTGGGAAATGCCTGATATATTTGGAGAATAGCAAGAAATGCAGAGTGACACCAAAAGAATAAGACAAGGGAAGAGTAACCAGTATAAGATCAGACAGACAACTAGAGTTTTGGAGCAGTACACATCATGCGGGGTCTTGGAAAGAAGACTCCTGTGATACGATGTGCATTTCAGAAGTGTAATCATGTTGCTATTCTGTGAATAGATTGTATGGATGCAAATGTAGAAGCAGGGAATTAATCGGGACGCTGTCATAAGAATTCACAGGCGAATTAATGGCCACTCAAACCAGACTAGTATCAGTGGACACGGCGAGACTAATGAGGTGCTAGATACATTATAAAGGAATATTCAACAGATTTTCCAATGGAGTGGATGTTGACTGTGAGTCAAAATGACTCCAGACTTTTTTGGCAAGCAGTTCAGAAGGATGGAATTGCCATCAACTGTGTGGAGAAAGCTATGGGTGAATTGGTTCAATAAGACAAGGTCTGTGCCCTTTAAGGCTCACACTCATAAGCCAGAGAGATAATTAATAACTAATGTTATCAACTAACGGAAATAATGTGCTAAGTACTTTTTCTTTTAAGTCTATTTCTTTCATTTGAGAGAGACAGCACTTGTAAGCAGGGGAGGGGCCGAGAGAAAGGGAGGGAGAGAATCCCAAGCAGGCTTCTCACTGTCAGTGCAGAGCCTGATGTGTTTGGGGCTCTATCTCATGAACCACGAGATCATTACCCGAGCCAAAATCAAGAGTGGGGCACTTAACTGACCAAGCCACCCAGGCGCCCATGTAGTAAGTACTTTTTATAGCAGCTTTGTGGGAGAGCAGAGGTGGAAAATGTGTCATTTCAATTTGTGATGAAGGAACAGGTGGCAATCGATCAATGTGTTGTTAGGAATGACTAGGGTGGGAAAGAACAGGGAGGAAGGAATTAGTTATGGAAAGGTCATCATGCATTTTACGAACAACAGCACAAAAATGCAAAAGTTAATGCTAAGGGCTTGGGAATGGGACACTGCTTAGTGTGACTAGAGAAGAAGAAGTCATAATGGTGGTTGGGAAAGAGATGGAGTGCTTGGAGAGGAGGCTTTAGGAAGAAGATATAACCAGGTCGAGGAAGGGATTATTTACTATGCTAATGAGCTTACACTTAGCCAACAGGCATTGAGGCAGTGAAGGAGGTATTTTTAAATAGACATGTAAAGGGGCGCCTGGGTGGTGCAGTCGGTTAAGTGTCCGACTTCAGCCAGGTCACGATCTTGCGGTCCGTGAGTTCGAGCCCCGCGTCAGGCTCTGGGCTGATGGCTCGGAGCCTGGAGCCTGTTTCCCATTCTGTGTCTCCCTCTCTCTCTGCCCCTCCCCCATTCATGCTCTGTCTCTCTCTATCCCCAAAAAAATAAATAAATAAACGTTGAAAATAAATAAATAAATAAATAAATAAATAGACATGTAAAAATCCTTGGATGGAAAGTAAACCAATAATTTGTTCTTTTTTTTTTCCTGTTCATTGTCCAAAGGCAATTAAATGCTAAATACATATAAACCCATACACATATATGGACACACATACATACAACCCAACACACAGTGTTGTGGTTCTATAGACCAGTCTCTCAAGGCAGTCCCTGAGCTGTTCTATTGTAATGTTATGGTTATAATTTGAGGACTTTTTTTTTTTCGTGGTATGATTTAATTACCTCATGATTGTAAATAGAGGTGAAACACAGAGTGAATAATACCAGTTTTCCTATTCATTTGGGTAGGATTTTAAGTGGCTAGCTTTTTGCACATATTCTATGGGTCAAAAGTGTCTTACAACCATTGTGAAAAAATTGATGCTATTGAATCTCATGATCGTTTCTTCAAGTCATGGCTCCAAGGGAGAAACTTTAGGGGACTTTAAGTAGCAGTCAGTCAAAAACATGAAATCTATTTCCCTTACTCCTATAAGGAAAGAAAGTATTGGTTGTAAAATACCTGCTGCTTTTCTACATATGTTTAGGCACGTATTAGTTAACTTAGGAATAGTGTTGTATTTGGAGGCCTAGAAGAAACAGTGCATTCCTTGGGATACGTTAGGGTTATCAAATGTCTTGATTAGAAGGGATGCGGGGCCCCTTCTGATTTTAATTTTTTAAAATAATGTTTTAATGTTTATTTATTTTTGAGAGACAGAGAGGGATACAGAGAGAGAGGAAGTGGCAGAAAAAAAATGGAGACACAGAATCCAAAGCAGGCTCTAGGCAGTGAGTCGTCAGCACAGAGCCCTATGCGGGGCTTGAACCCAAGAGCTGTGAGATCATGACCTGAGCTGATGTCAGATTCTTAACTGACTGAGCTACCCAGGAGCCCCTGATTTTAATATTTACTTTTACTTCTTACTTTTCAAAATGAGATGATGATTGCCATCTTCTATCTCTTTTGCTTGGTTTATTACTCTTACTATGTTATTTTCCTTCCAAATGGAAAACCAAAATGGTATTTTGGATATCAGTGTGCTAGTTCTTCAGAGAAAGGAGGTGTGTGTGTGTGTGTGTGTGTGTGTGTGTGTGTGTGTGTGTGTGTGAGATTTGTTTTTTATTATGTCATTTGGGAGGAAGTTAGGCATTCATGATGTTATGATTATTTTAGCACCAACAAGTCCTTTTAATCTGTAATGCTAGAAATATTTAATAGAGGCCTATTGTATAAGTGTCTTATATGGGGAAAACATAGATTTAAACCATACGTAGGTAAACTTATTGAGGCAGAGACTTAGGGCCTGTTTCCGGATCTCATTGGCATTGTTTTAAAATAAAACTTGTGAAATACCAGTTTTTTCCCCTTCACCAGGCCAGCCACTTCTGGCCCTGTAATCGCATACACTCTTATGATTGGTTAATTATAACCACCAGTCAAAAGCATTTTGACTTACTGTTTTGGTGGAAAGAAAAAGGAATTGAGTAAGAATTTTACACCTTTCCTGATACCGAATCATAATATAGGTCTTCAGATTTCATTTTCCAGACCTCCAAATAACTGACCATTTTAAAATTAAGACCAATTTTATTTGCTTTTCAGACCACGTGGATGAGCGAACAGTATGCAATGGAATTGCCCCTGAAAAAGATGTAGATGGATTTCATATTATCAATATTGGAAGACTGTGCCTTGACCAGAATTCTCTCATACCGGCCACTGCCAGTGCTGTTTGGGAAATAATCAAAAGAACAGGTTGGTAATTTGTGGTCTGCAGGATGGGGGTGCTGAATGCCAAACTGAACACATGTACATTGCCTTGCTGGAAACATCTCCATCCTACTGAGTAAAAGAAAATGATCAGCTATAAAACTTCGGTGTAGAGAAACTTATAAAGTGACAAAAGTAAAAAAAAAAACAAATCTAAAATAAATAAAATGAGAGATATGTGTCAGGTTATAGGTAACTGTTGTTGCCCCTTTTGGGCATGAATTTTTCAACTAGTAGGTTCGTCTCCCTGCTTTTAAATTGTAAACTTAATGTATTTTGGTGGACACTTTCCAAAATGAGTTCTGTGTGTCCTTACTTTTAGAAACAAAATTTGATGAACATATATGAGCCATCTCTAATGCCCTACGTTTTTACTATAGACATTTACATTTGATTTGTGCTCTAAATACAGTGATACTCTCTTGGGCCCTTGAGGTGTATAGAGATATTTACCGCTATGTTAAGCAAGACCAAATTGCCCTTATGTTTGTAATTGCCCCACCTCCATCGCTGTCCCTTCCATTTCTGACAGCATCTTCTCCTTTCTAACCTACTATTTAACCTGAAAATTTCCAAGAGAAAGCAGATCCTAGAACCACCCTCTTAGGACATTAGTACTTGTGAAAACTTTAATTCCAACTGCTTCATTGTACTTATGAAGAAACCAACCCCAAGGAGGTAGAGTGCATTGTATCTGCAGGTTGTATCTTTCATCCTTTCCGGGTCCCTGAAAGTTCAGCAGCTCTCTAGGGGGTAAAGTGCATGAACTTTGTAAAAAATATGCTTTTTCCCACCTCATTTTGTTCCAGATTCACTGAAAGTCTGATTGCCAGTTAAGCTTGCCATTGTCGTACTTTGCTTACTTCATAATTAGTAGTTAATATAGAGTAAGTCTTTGCATGTCTAAATCTTCACATGAATCTGTGTTTAAAAGTAATTTAATGGCAACTTGAAAATGTAGTTTTTTAATGAGGGCAATTACAGAGGAAGTGACAAATCCGAGAGGCATAAAAAGAATATTTATAAATAATGAATGTGGGCGCATTATAGACAAGCCACACAGTAATTCAAATTTAATTAGAAGTTTTTAAAGAATGTTTCAGTTGGCTGTTCACATGTTTAATTTGCTTCTTGTTGTTGATTCTTCATTTAAATCAAACTCTGTGTTTTAAGGGATTGAAACATTTGGGAAAAATGTGGTTGTAGCTGGAAGATCCAAGAATGTAGGGATGCCCATTGCCATGCTTTTACACACTGATGGAGAGCACGAACGGCCAGGAGGTAGGTAGGACCTTGGAGATTCTGTGTACTCTTATAATTTTCTTCATTCTTAAAATCATCAAGTAAGGATGTTTGAAAATGTGATTTGGCATATTTGTGGATTTATGCAGATAAAATCTCCCCTTATTCTTCATCCAGTGACATGAGCACCTTGAAAGTGAATAAAAGGATTGCTAGACATATATGGCCCCTTTGTTCCTATTACTACTATTATTTTGGCCTTATATACTTTCTTTAAATAATTGATAATATAAACATTAAGAAAAGTGGAAAGCCACTAAATACATAACAATCACATGCTGATAGCCTTCTGCTGCCTCACGCGTGTGCGTGCACACACACACACACACACACACACACACACAGTCTGCATCTTTAGGGTTCAATGTACAAATATATAGATTATTTCTCATTGTTAACCTTGGTGAATTCCACTTTCTTGACCTTAAATTTTTTTTTTTTAATTTTTTTTTCAACATTTATTTATTTTTGGGACAGAGAGAGACAGAGCATGAACGGGGGAGGGGCAGAGAGAGAGGGAGACACAGAATCGGAAACAGGCTCCAGGCTCGGAGCCATCCGCCCAGAGCCTGACGCGGGGCTCGAACTCACGGACCACGAGATCGTGACCTGGCTGAAGTCGGACGCTTAACCGACTGCGCCACCCAGGCGCCCCGACTTGACCTTAAATTTTTAAAGATTTCTTTTATGATCTTTGTTGTCATAAGGCATATGAAATAATTTTTTAAGCCACAATGCCCTATGGAAAAAGAAGCCCAGTGATATTGCATCATTTATCTAAAATAATGATTGATGAGACTTTTGAATATTACTTTTCCTTCCTGGGCCTAAGCATTTAAATATCGCCACAAATCAAAATGGGTATCGGGATCATAGTAAATTAGGGCCTGATAATGACTCCAGGTAAGTTTAAAACCCTTGGTTTCAAGAAACTCTTGGAAAGGCCAAATCTAGTAGTGTGAACATCATTTTTGTGGTGAACGCCTACAATTCTAGTGTTACTATTCACTTGTAACTTAATCTGCTAGTGCTTATCCATCTGTCTCTTAGGTATAATAAAGATATTGATTCATATTGGCCTTTATGCAATTGTTTCTAGGTTAAACAAGGTAAACCAACCAGAAGTTTTTACCTGGGTATACCATTTTTGTTGGAAAATTTTGAGTCTGTGTCGATACATGGAGTTTTTTTCTTCCTTTTCACCACTTTATTTTCCAATCTCATCAATAACATAACAATCAGCGTTATGTTTTTCCACGACTCGTATGGTACTTTCTAATAAACTGTCTTATTTCGTTCTCAGTAATTTTGGCATATATTAATAGTATTTGCATTTTGCAGCTAAAAGAAATGAGCTTTAGAGACTTCAGGTGACCTGCCCAAGGCCACTCAAGAAGTAGTGAATCCGGAGCAGGGAGCTGGGAGCTGGGTGCTGTCCGGGTTTGAGAGGATGTACTTGGAGTCAGATCCCTCTCCTGCCATATGCTCTGTATCGTTGGACGAGACATGTAATCCATGCAAGTCTCCACTTTTCACATCTGTAAAGTGCAAATAATATTAATATCTCTTTCACTGGGTCATTGTGAATTTTAGATGAGGTAAGAATGGAAAGCTCTAATTACATTGCCTGACACAATAAGTTAAGTAAGATCTTGCTTGGTCCATGTGGACTGTGGCTATTACTATTTCCGTTATGTGCTTAATTTAATAATCTGTGACCATACTAACTATAGAGTTTAGAGTAATATGATCCAAGGTTAATGTATTTTTCACCTTCATGTGAAATTTTATTGTATTTTTCTGGTGGGATTTATGTTTGCCTTTTGTTTTTGGATCAAATCTAGTCTTTGTTGTACTAATCTGTATAAACATAGAATTTATAAAGTCTATAAAGTATTTGATTAGAAACATGACATCATAATACTCCAAATCATATAGTTCATTGCATTTTTTCTCTTAGATGTCAATATATTACATGCTGCTTTCTGGATAAATTTCCATTTTGAATTACTTATTTGTCTATAAAATTAAGTCTATGAAAATCAATTTATCCCTTCTTTATGCAATTTTAAATTGGACATCAGTATGTCCTAGTACATACTAACTTCATAAATATTTTCTACTTTGTGTTTTAAAATATTCTCACTTGAATGCATGTTAAAAATTGAATAAAAGTGGAATTGGTTATAATACCGGTTACTTACAAGCCAGGTAGTTAAATTTACATTTCTCATAGCAGCACCTAAGTGCCGTTATAATTACAGTATCCAAAAAGTAATAAATTGTATTAAAAATGACGTTGGGCAGTTTGCAACATGGGTGTTGTTTAATCTCATGCATATTTAATAGGAGTATGGTGACATATATGATTAATATAATGAATTGTTGAGAGCTGCTTACTGAAGATTTGGAGTCTGTGGGAAAGTTAATATTTCAAACGTCCCTGTCTGTTAGAGCAGTAATTATGTGCGGTGACTACAAGTGCATTGTTAGCTAATGGAGATAATGAAGGGGGATTAACTCGGCAAATTCATATCTATAGAGCTGTTCTGATGACACTCACAGTGTTGAGCATTCAGCTCACACTGTATTTCTTTGCCAGAAGAGATTCAGAACCCTAATGATTCATTTGTGTCTTAAAGCCAGCGATAATTGTCCTGGAAGAAAAATGGCCATACTGTAATTTAACTTGATTAATATGTGTCTACTCTTGGCTAGCTTTCAGTCTTGATCATGTGGGACATAAATCCCAGCTGTTTGGTGAGAAAAAACTTCTTTGAATTCCTCAAGGGCTTGGAATATTTAGACGGAGAATGGCTTGGAATATTTAGACGGAGAACGCGCTACAATCTTGGGGTAAAGGGTAGTGTTGATGCTCAACACAGCAGGATGCTGCAGGGACATTACCTTCTGCTGAGGACCTGTTATCACAGAGGACATGGCATCTGAGGTGCTCTGTAGTTTATAGAGAGTGGGTGAGAGATGGTTCCTGTCCTTCAGGATCTTATAGTCTTGGTACTAACAGGGGGTGTAGATACAGAGGTGCATGATACACAAGTTGTTTTAAATTGTAAATATTCAATGGCACAAAATAAAATTTGGCATCTCTAAGCAAACATTCCATTTGCTTAGGAAAGCCTATGGTTAATTGAAGGGGCATAAAGGTACTGACAATGGACAATCTCTTCTCAGGAACTCCACTACTTATAAGGATGCTTAAGTGCCATTGCGACCGCCTGTAGGTCACTGCGTGTTCTTTTAACTTCTTTGTGCGTAGTAACCTACCCCGTTTCACCTTCTTTCAGAATGAAAACTGATTACCATTGGTCTCAACCCAGCGTCTTGATTTTTAGCTTTACGGTGAGGAAGTGAGAGAGAAGTTCTTCAGTTCTGCTAAAACAGAAACTCCTTCAAGATAACAAAGCACCCTAGTGACCAGGTGTTAAGATGATTAACTTGTCGCCAAAAGAATGCAGAACTGGATTTTATTTCAACATTTTTTAGGGTAAATTTCTTTCTGCATATTTTCAATTCTTATGTAGGACATCTCATCCAAACAGATCCCCCCAAATGCCCACAGCATGGGCTCACATGCTTCTCCTTTAACTGAAAGGTTGTGGTGTCACTTCAGTGCCTGCATTGGTGCAGGGACCTTTTCAAAGAGCATTTCGAAAGAATCAGCCCTGCTTAGAGTCCTGTGGGCCCAGAGATCTTCTTGATTTCATTCAGGCAATACGCATTCAGTTCTCAATTCTCTGTGAAACGCTGTGGGGAACAGTGGTAGAAAAGACTTAGTTCTCTGGTTTCTGGAAGATGACAGTTTGCATCCTTAGGGCTCCTCTTCCAAAAGAAAACTGTGTTTTCTCAAAGCACTGCTTCCGCATTGGTGTTCAGTGTTTGAATTCACGTCGTCCTTGTGCTGCAACTTTCCGTGCCTCGGGTATAATTGTCATGCAAGGCGCCTCCTACCTGAGTAGAAAACCACAAGACCTTTTGCCAAGAGAATGCCCTTCCTTTGGGAAGATTGGCTCTCGTTGTGAGAATGAACATTTTTGCCAGACTGGGAGCGTTATCTCTCACATACAGGAGTGCTTTCAGGCAGTAATACAGGAGTGGATGTTCCAGGTGGTGCAGCCGGAACATACTATGAGTGGTATGCGTCATTAAGCTCAGTCCAGTGCCAGGTTGGGCCAGGCACTCCCGGGTTTCAAAGAGAAGAGCCAAACAGGAACACCTAGGAATGCAGGAGTCATACAAAGGATCACACCGCAAAGAGTGAGACTCTAAGTCTTGTCAGCAGCAGAGTAGAGCAAGGTGCTCCCTATCTCTGTGGAATGAACTATTGTCAAACTGGGGCAGGGAGAATGGCAGGCATTTCGGTCTCTGTTCCTCCCGTCCCACTACCCCTGAGTTAGAAACACCCATGGTAAGCTATTGGAGATATACTATGTCTTGTGCTGCCTCTGTGTTGTTTAGGCTTGACTGAATTCCAGCATTGTGCTTGCACAGTGGAAAGCCATAGAAAAAAAGATGCTTCTTCTAGTCTCCTTTCCTTCTTTTTTTAAAAAGTTTGTTTATTTTTGGAGAGAGAGAGAAACAGAGAGAGTGAGTGTGAGGGGTGAGGGGCAGAGAGAGAGGGGGGGGAGAGAGGATCCCAAGCAGGCCACATTGTCAGCCCAGAGGTTGATGTGGGGCTCAGTCTTGTGAACTGTGAAATCATGACCTGAGCCGAAATCAGGAGTCGACGCCTCATCCACTGAGCCACCCAGGTAACCCTTAGTCTCCTTTTCTAAGCTGAATAATGAGAGTACTGTTTCATTTTTAATATCTCCTTAACTCAGCCAGCTCTTATATGGAAAGCACTGTATTTAGAAAATATCATGTGTTCTTTTTTTGTTTTGTTTTGTTTTAGCGTTTATTTATATTTGAGAGACAGAGGGAGACAGAGCGTGAGCAGGGGAGGGGCACAGAGAGAGAGA